GCTTTCACCGTGGACGAAGCGGAGTCCAGCCCGGGGTCGTCACATGTTGTTGCCACAAGCCCGCTGGGCGCTCCTTCGTCGAATCTGCCGGTCGCGCCTTTCTCAAGCCCACCGGCAGCTGTTTGAATCGTCGCTCCGGGATACGGCCTGACAGTATGTTAAGGAGAGTAACATTTCCGTCACACGCTTGAGGTATTCGGCCAATCACAACGCACTGGATAGCTGGCCAATCAGAGCACACCTCGCTTTTCAGACCGATGAGCTTTGTAAAAATCGACGCGTTTCAGAAAGGCGGGGCATAGGGAGAAACAATAATGTATGTGAATGTAATAAATACAGTATGTGGAAATTAAAGTTTTTTAAACTTTAAACCACATAAACACATTTCATTACAGCAAATACACAAAATAATGTTCTTTTTAGCAACATCATATGACCCCTTTAAAAATGGAATTAGATAACACCCTGCAAGATCTAGAGACACGTTTTTAAAATGCAAAATTATTATTTTAACTTTAGTGCCGCGTTTTTAAAATGCAGCGTCATGCGCCAGAAGCAGGAAACCGGGAGCACAACGGTCAAACTTTAACGGTCCGTCTAGCCCATGTTTACATAAAAAAATGGAACAAATCAGCGCAGCGGAATGCAAAAACTCACATGTAGCATGTAGTTCTTTCGGTATATATTTAACATATGTTATGAGTTCCTCATCTTTATCAGTCCTCCTTATCTCAGTAGAAATCACAGGTACCAGAAGGTCACTGCAGTGACCATGGCCTGAGTCCAATGGGTATTGAGTGCCAGAAAAGACCTATAATCCTTCCAGTAGACCTTGAGCTTGTGTGGCTTTTGGCCTACTTCCTGCCAGCACAACTGACATGATTTGTCTGGGATTAAGACAGGTTAGTATTTGTGAATGGAATGGAGTGAGGATACGGGATTGTTGGATAAGAATCAACCTGTGTAATAAATGGACTGATAATAAACTATCCCATGGATCATAAAATACAGTAATCCACCATCATAGCTAATGGCACAGAAGGAAATATCTGTAAATTCCCATTTTCTTCTGCCTTGTTTCCCTTCATCTGATCCTAAACTCACTTATCTAAACTGGTGTTATCCCACCAGAATAATGTAACATTTAATATAATCAGACAAGAATTCAATTCTAGACATAAAATGTGCAAAATACACAATCCAGTTAAATGAAACATACGCAATACAATGCTGACACACAAACAGATACTTTTACAGATTGAAATGGTTTATTAGTAAGGAAATATCAGCTCATAACAAATGTGGTACAGAACTTTCTCCCCCGATTAAGTTTATTGAGAAAAACAAAACCATGGAGCCAAAAAATTCTAAATTTTTTGTTGCTTCCAAATGCGAAACAGTAAATATTAAAAATAGATGGTCTGAGAAGGAAATGAGCATCACCTCACTTGCTTGAATCGGTCAAACAAAAGAAATAGTAACAAGGTCTAATGAGCAGAAGCACTGAAGCATGGTCGATTATACGCATGTGAGTGTAACTAAACTGGCACTGATTAAAGTTTATTAACCTCATGGGTGTTCTGCGTCTGCTAGCTCATCCATCTATCTATTGGTTACTGTAGCAGTGTATCAAAAATATAAAAAAGGCCATCTTTAAAGATTGGTAATCCTAGGTCATGGCTAATGATACAAAAAGGAAAGCCATGTGTTTGAATGTTTTGTAAAATAAGGCTTTGTATAAGCGTGGAGCTTCAAATGAAGAGAGCTAACAAACAAAATAAAATAAAATAAACCTATAAAGCAAACCTGAATCACTTCCTTATTGGGTTCAACCAATCAATGCAACTTGCTGAAAATGGAGAAATTCTAAACTCAAAAAAGTACACTCAGTATGCAATAAATGTTGGCATCCTTAAAATGGCAAAAAAGAAACAACAATATATACAACAACAAAAATAAAGTATGCAATATGCAAAGGCTTAATGTTGCTTTCGGCAACCCCCAACGGACCACCCCCACCCACCTCCTCCCAAACACTATAAGAAAGGTAAGCCTCATGGGTGACCCCTGTAAAGAAGACCCTACAAGACCCCGACACCTCAAAAACCCACCTGTCCACCCTCCCGCATACACACAGGACATCACAAAGCACGATTACGTCACTAAGCCTGTTAGTTTGAGTGAGATAACCCCCCACCCCCAATGGTTCCCTGACCCCTGGCTCTTAGGAATTGGTGAAGGCATCTGCACAGGGGCTCCACTCATCTGTTTTAGGGTTGTAGGCCTCAACCGAATTGAGGAAGTCGTTTCCATCAAAGCCACCAACGGCATAGATGATGTCACCGAGCACGGCTGCACCGGCATTGCTGCGTGGTGAATTCATGCTCCCCAGCATCCTCCATTCGTTGCGTGCAGGGTCGTACATTTCAACGCAACGCAGGGCATGAGAGCCATCAAAGCCGCCCACCACGAACAGTTTACCTGAGAGAGACGAACATCGGTTACCTTCTTCTACAAGCTGCATGTTCGTACCCCAGCATTTGTCCTTTGCTTACCTTCATGGACGGCCACTCCAGCTCCTCTACGGGCTATGTTCATTGGGGCAACAAGGGTCCAAATGTTGTTTTCTGGATTGTAGCATTCTACACTGTTCAAACAGTTCCAAGACTCTGCTCCTCCGATCACGTACATGAAGCCATCCAGCTCGCACACGGCAGCCTGATGCCTCCCTGTAAATGCACAAAAATAACGTTGAGAACAGTATCTGCAGATCCATCTGGCTTTTTATCAATGTAATCCCTGCTCTACGCTTAAGCTGTGATCTCTTATGTGCCCAAAACCTCTGTGGAAGCAATTATAGTGATATTTTTTTGTCAACGTGACTTACTGATGTTTAAAGGGGCACAACTGGTCCAGGCCTTGCTCACGGGGTCAAAAACGTCACAATTCTTCAGACCTTTCTGTCCGCATGGATCTGATCCCCCAACAACATACAGCTTGTTGTTCAGAGAGCAGACACCTGAGGAAAGTCAAACAAGCAGTGATAAATCTAAAGCTATCGTATTCTCTTTGTTGGATGGACAAATTCAAAATCTATTTGAAGGAATGCACAGATTCGGACAGAAACCGAGATTTAATGTTATGGCCAATAACCAATATAAGGCTGATATTAAAATGATATAGTATTTGATCTAAAAACAGTCATTTTAAATGCTACAAGTGAAGTTTTTACCTGCATTGCAACGATTGGTCCTGAGCTCAGGCACTTGAGTCCACTCGTCAGCACTAGGGTTGTACGTCTCCCCACAACTTAGTTCATCTGAATGGCCATTGGACCCACCCATCACATAAAGCTGACCCTGATTGGATAACAATAACAGTTTTTTTACTGTGCTTTTGAAGGCTTAACACCCATTTGACCATGTACACACCATGAGCACGGCCATCTGAAATCGAGCGCGTGGTGTCCTCATTGGAGCAATGAAACTCCAGCTGTCTGTCTTCATGTCGTAACATTCCACAGTCCTCAAGCACTCCTCCCGATTGTAGCCACCTGAATAACGGATCAGATAGAGTTGCTCAATGAAAGCAAGAGAGACATTCAGATGTTTCTATGGAATTTGTGCTGCCCACTAACCTGCGGCAATGAGTCGGCCGTTCAGAGCAGCAATGCCCAGGCCGGAGCGAGCATAGTGCATGGGTGCCAGCAGCTTGTCCGGTTCCTCTTCCAGTGGCTGGCCCTCAAAACTCAGGCTCTTGGTCAGACAAGGTGTAGCCGAGGGCGAGGCCTGGGGACTGCTGCGCCCATGCAGAAAGATCACACACAGCATGCCGTTCAACACGGCCAGACACAGATATGTATTGTCTGTGGGGAGAGAAAGAGGAAGATGATGACTTTAAGGGACTGCAGAGAAGTCTTGACTATCTAAAGACATCAAAGGTGCAAACGTACTGGTGGTTTTCTCGGAAGCAATGTATTTCCACTCTGGCTTGCAGGAATGTTTGGCGGATCCAGGGGAGAGGCTGCCAGAGGAGCTGGTGCTCAGCTGTCGGTGTACATTCTCACGTGGGGGCTTCTTCTGCAAAGGCACAGCGCAGCTACAGACTCCGAGCCCATGGTCCACATACACACAACCTCACACAGTCTCAGACCCTGTCTAGGTGTAAGCCTGACTCAACAACTTACCAGATGCTTGGCCTGCATCAGGTTAAAGAATATTCTAGGTTCAATGAAAGTTAAGTTCAATCGACAGCATTTGTAGCATAATATTGAATACCACAAAAACTATTTTGTCTCATGCTTCATTTTCTTTTAAAAAGCAAAAATTGAGGTTTTGGTAAGGTACTTACAATGGATGTGAAAGGGCCAATTTTTATAGGATATGAAGCTTATAACTTTATAAAAGTCTTACATTAATTCTTCTATTAAAACGTTTGTATTATATGAGCTTAAAAGTGATTTAAATCTTTTACATTTTAGCCTTTATGTTGTCATTGCAACAGAGTTGGATATAACGTTATCCAGAAAAGATTAGCAAGCATTTTTTTTTGTCCACAGTCCACAAATCAATTTAACATGCATAATATTGTTTACATTTTGTAGCTATACTATTGGAACAGTGAGTATTTTAACATTTACAGATTAGCCCTACTTACTTCCATTGTAAGTGCCTTACTGTAACCATGATTTTTTTATTTTTTTGAAAAGGAGGAACAAATGGAAAAAAAAAATTGTGATAAACCACAGCATGACTCAGATGCTTTTGAATGAGCTTGTATTGAACCTTGGACTATTCTTAACCTTATATCTACATCAATCTAATTCTAATGTAAAGCCACACTATAAGCAGCACAAAAACCCAATCCACACACTCATCACGCACACACCGTGATCGCTTTAACTCAAAACGCTCAGACTCAACAGCCCAGCACAACAAAGCAGCTGCTCTGCTAGCATTAAATCTTGCATTTGCTACGGGCCTGCTGCGGTCCAGCCTGAGAAGAGCTCGGCGCTGGTTGTGTACCTGCACAAACTGGATGTGGTCATCCTCAGTGCCGAACACCTCAGCCTGCCCATCAAGCAGGCTCCCATCGAGCAGCTTGTGATCGGCCGAATAGTACAGCATTTGCACCTGCAAAACACACAGCAACAACAGAACCCATGTGGCTGTCTCCATGACAAAAGAGCACCCAACTACGTGGGTCAGGGGAAGAAGGAAAGTTAAGAAGGGAAGGGCCAGCAGGGTTTGCTGCAAAATGCTGGTAAAAAAAAGCTTCTTTAAGAATAAAAACACAGTGTTGTTGTGGATTCAGGACCATTTCGAAAGATCTTCTGGACTTTTCACTGCACTGAAAACAGCAGAATGTGGATCACAATACAGTTCGCCACAAAGCATCTTGGGAACCATCATTTGTCAACAAGTTTGGAGAAGGAAATAGACAAACAAGCTCCGCCAGTGCATGTTCAGCTGTCATCCTCCAGCCATCCTCTCAGCTGAGGGGGTTAGTCAAGTCAGACGTCATCACACAAACTCCAGTACAATACTGGTTAGCTGTTTTCAACTTTTAACAGCTCAAAAATTAGTGCTTCATTAAGGGAAAAAAAAGAATCTAGGATCGTCTTCAAGCTTTTTTAAAAACCAAATATAATACAAAATTCAGTTCAAATAACTGGAAAAAAAATCCACTGAAATTGGATAAAATAGTACAATGATTGTAAAAACGAGAAAAAAAATGTGCAGCAACGTTATTTAGGGATAGCATTTCTGTATATTTGTCTATGGGTACTTACAGATATATTAAGCACATATAATGGTAAAAGCAAGGTTGCATCAATGTTTTTAAGTGCCCTGCACAATGAGAAAGTGTCTGAAGTTCAACATTTTAAGCTGCCTGTGACCACTTGTGTACAGGTGCTGATGCCAATGAAACAGGACCAGTAGGTACTGCTGAAATAAAAAGAGGTAATTTGTGTATAGCTATAGTAGTGTTTTATAGATTATTGAATTTAGATTTTTTTTAATTTTATATATAATTTAAAAACAATCATGTTTCGTGTTTCCATGACTGGCTGTTGCTGTCACTTCAGAGTACCTGTGCCCATCCCTGCTGGGAATGTGTCCAAAAGCAGATTAAAAAGGAACTAGGAACTGAGAGCGACTTCAGAACATCCCTCTAAGCTGCACTCAGTTTCCACTTCCTTTATTTAGGATGAAACACATTTGTAGGTGCGATCAGGAAGCCTTTTGTGAAGTTGACGGCTCTCTTCCTTTTCTTTCATTCGTACTTAATCAGTATTCAGGTGTATAATGTGTAAATGTAAAATGCCTTAGTTGTATAAAATGTTTATATTTGTGTGCCAGTCATCTGAATATCTTGTACTGTAAGTGTGTGCATGAACAACTATACGACATGCTTTGATTTACTTTGCATGCATGTCAGTTACAGTAAGTGGACTTAATATGTGAATGTCTTGAAGTGTTCAATGCGGTGGTACTCAGACATCTGAAGTGTTATTTTAAATGATCTGTGTACTGTAGGTGAGTGCAGCTGTTTAAGAGACAGGAGCCTAATGCTCGTTTCACCACAGCTCCCTCTCGTTCTTTTGTTATTTTCTTTCATTCACTGACTCATTACCCTGGAGGGCCCCAGTCTTGGCTTCTTCAGTCTTGTAAGAATCCTGCTGATGTTTGCTCTAATAAACCTAAGGAGAGATAAATCAGTGGGGAGGAAGAACTGTTAGTGTTGGTTCCCAGAGCAAGCACACTCACTCAAACACTCACACAACACCTGCTTAGAGAAGAGAGAGATGTCATTGGGATGGCAACATGTCATGTCACTCTCTGCGAGCAGACAGAGTAGCTGCAGTTACTGCACAGCACTGAGCATTCAGGAGGCTTTTAGTTTGGCTCACCTGGACTACCCACTCGCCTTTGCGGAGGGTGTAACAGCCCCGTTCTGTACCTAAATGTATATTCTTTAAGGCCCGGGGTGATTTGTGGGTGAAGGGGGAGAGGAAAAAAATATATATATGGAAGGCAGAGAGACAAACCCAACCAACCTCTACCATTAAGATGGCTGGTGTGAACGGACCAGTTAAGTCTGTCAATGGGATGAATTACGAGGGGGAAGAAGGGAGGGAAGTGAGAGAGGAGCTCACAGTGGAGCGCAGTACCCACCTCCTCCATCAGTCGCTCCAGGGGTTCACCATTTTCCCATAGGCTGCGTTGCACCCAGCCAATCACCTTGGAGTACAGCTTGCCATTACTAGGCAAGGTCAAGTTATCCTCCAGCAGCACCTCCAACTATAAACCAGACCAAAAGAAAGCGTATTTAGCATAAGAGCACAATAAAGAATAGTACATGACCTGAATGGATTAAAGGGTCATGAAACACCAAACTACTTTTTCGGAGTAGACAATGTTAGCATCCGTTCATTTTAATTGTTGGAGAAAACTGGTTAATTTTGAGCTTTTTTGAGCTATTTCCGTCTTCTGGGTTTAAAATCTACATCGTGTTGACGTCACGGTTTGTGACGTGGCAAAGGTCTGTTGTACTCCGATGACGCGTCGGTGTCTCATAATTATTCATGAGACTGCGTGTTCTTATCTATGAGAAGACGCTTAGCTTAATTATTCACAACAGCATGTGACAGACGCTTCAGACAGTGAAACTGCGTACATTAACTGAGAAACGTTCATGAATCGAAGGTGAGCGTTTGTTTTTGCTTTGTAAGAGTTCAGCAAAAAACGCGATTCATTCACTTAGTGAGTGCAACCGGTTTTAACAGCTCTTTGATGCAACCAATCAAAAGGCTTATATAAACACCACAAAATAAGCCTTAAAAGTTAGAGGTGCAACGGCGCGTTCATATATGTTTTCGATGCAGAGTGCAAATGCAAATGGCTGTGCATTTATTCGTGTTTTTAACTCAATGGGGCAAAATGAAACTGTCTGAAACAAACCGAAGCTGTGTGTTGCCCGTCTCCCCTCTTTTGTAGCATTTTTCAAAAATTGTGGTGAGAAGTAAACAGGGGGTTTCATGAACCTTTAAAGGTCAGCTCACCTTAAGACGTGGCAGCTTGAGGAAATCCTCTTGCTCAGACACGTCCAGAAGATGCTCCTGGATATAGCTGTCGATCTTGCCCAGCAGACACCCGTCTCCCATGCAGCTGGCAAAATTGCGATAGGAGATGGCGCTCTGGGAATCCATCTTGGAGAGAAGATAGTCGCCACAGATCTGGGAGCAAGGACAGAAGAGTTGGTTAGTGCTTCATCTCAAGTAAAACCATCTCAAAAACACAAACACGTGCTTGATTAACCTACCTGCTTCACTCTGTCCATTTTGAGCCGTTTGGCTGCAGAGTAAACCTCCTTAACCAGCTCTTTATCTGCCTTCAACCTGCAGAGAGTAACAATAAATATCAGAAATAATTGGTTGCCTCAAATGGAAAGCCATTAATATGGTAGAAAAAGTGCCTTATTGATGGCTCTAAATGGTTGATTGCAAGTTGTGTGTGTCTTACTGGGCAGTGTAAGCATAGTTGAGAAGGATTTCCACAGCCACAGGGTCCAGATCCTCAAATTTCACATGAGAGATACCATGAGGTTCCAGGTCGCTGTTAAATATTTCAAACAGATATGGACTGCAACAAGCCAACACTGCCCGATGAGCCATCAATTCATGGCCACACACCTGCAAAGGTAAAAGGACAAAGGTTAAGTCTATTATGACATTGTAACAAAGAGATATACACAATTTCTATTTATTTTACTAACAGGTAATAAATTACTTCAAATAAATCTGAATTTTCAGATAAGGTGCTTGGTCATTTAAATGTCATCGCTACGATTCTGGTGTTGCTATGTAGCTATTAAGGTGTTTTGGGTGGGTTTTAGTATGCTATGCTGTTGCTATATGGGTTTGAACAAATCCCAAAGATTAAGTATTAGTATGAGTTTGGCAGCATCATTAAATACCAAAACAAATATCCAGATACCACTTACAGTATTTATATTTGGAACAAGAATGTTTTTTTTTTTTTTAATCGAAAGAAATTAATCTTGAGAATCAACTATTAAATCTCTTAAGATAATGTTAAACCTCCCATTCAGTCTTTGAAATATTCGGAACACAGAGGGTTTGGCTTTGTCTGTCACATGGCTAAAGGCCATTCAAAGATCCAGGACCTGCGTATAATGAACACACTCTTCCCTGAGTCATGTTTCAGCCTTCTCATAATGACACAGAGAATAATAAGGTTAAAAAAGGGTGTGTTACATATACTACTGTAATATTATTACTTTTGTAATGCGTTACTCCCAACACTGGTTACCTGAAGTCTCACATCACAGAACTGGCCGTTCTTTCTAAGGGCGTTCATCTTGGCCACAGTGGAATCCAGGAAACTTTCATCCTCAAAGATCAAATATCCGTTGGGAATCATTTTGGAAATTAAGCCTTTTCAAAAGCAAAACAATAACATGCTTAAGTCGATTTTATGAATTTACCTCAAAATATCACCCACACACACACAAATTCACATAAAATACAATGTATCACTCATTTTAACTGCCAGCTAAAAAGTTGTCAGAGTCTAAAATCACTATAAATCAGTCCTATTGTGCACACATAACAGCTTCAGGTATAAGTCATGTACTTACCTAATACCGAATGACGTACGTCTGGGAGAGATAGTTTACTTGGGAAAACCGTAAAAAGGCACGAGTGAAGTAGAACCAAGAATGGGAGCCTAGGTCTTCCTTCACTACGAAGTGGATGGAAAAGGTAATGCCAGGCAACCAGTGGGCACGGCAGGAGGTCAGAGGTGACTCAAACTCTCAGGCTTAGAGTGACTGCAATCAAGTCCTCGCGTGTCCCGTTGGCTATAGACTCAAACCTTTTCTGTGTTGATCGTGTATTATAACCTGCAGAACAAATAACAAACAAACAAGGGGTTGTGATGACTGATTATCTCAGGAACACTGATCACATCAAGGGCAATTTCTAGAATGTCAATGGCCACAACATCTAATACTGATTTAGAATGAACCAACAGAAATGAAAGGTTCACATGTCGCTCAAGGGCAGAAATGCTGCCGATCACAGACTGACCCAGCTTTACGCTACTGATCGCTTTCATGGAGTTAAACATTCGGGATCAGCCTTCACTCCTTCTGCACAGACAGTTCAAATTAATCCGGATAGAATCAGTTTCATACAGACTTAATTCAACAAGCGGCCTAAATCTCAGGACATGCTTTTCAAACCCTCTGTTAACCCCTCCCTCAGTCAGACCGTTTCAACAACACACACACAGATTCTCCCCATCTTCTTCCCCAGTTAAGAAGGACATGGCTCTACCACACCCACATGCTTCCAGGAAATTTCCACAGGTCTTTCAAAGCCCTTTTAGCCAGCAGATGGCCAACTTTTAGGGGCGGAGGATGGTCACACAACCAAAAAAATTTACTTAGTCAGGAATTTGGATGCATTAATCACATTCCCACAATGATGTGGCTACAGCTGTGTGGGGATGGAAAAATGCAGAAGCGAAAAACAAATGAGCTCCAGTGTGTGGAATCCTCATGTTTTACATGAAAACCTGCTAGTATTTTTCCACTCACATCCTTTTATGCACTTTCATCCTCAGTCGACACAAATGCTCCAAACAGGCAGTGGAGGTCTTTGGATAATCTGCTCATTCTCTCTTGCTCTATCCTCCTCAGGGATTGATTATTGAAAACAGCAATCGGAAAATGCTAGGCCTTAATTTACCTCATCATAGGGATGCTTCCTTTTGAAGATAAATGGCATTGGAGAAACACTTTCAAGCACTAGGAAAAGTAAAAAGACCACGAAAGCACTGAATTATGCTTTTTATGTGAGATCTCACTAATGCCCTTCCTTTTTCAACTGTCTACATTGAAGTTTATTCCACTAAATATCACATCTAAGGTTAATCCAAACTCTTTCCTGCTTAAAAAAAAAAGCTTTTAAGAAGGATCTTTTTTAAAAAATCTAAAAACAAAAGAATTAAAATTAGATAAAAGTTTTAAAATAATTTTCTTAAACTTATTTTCAAGAAAGGTTTAGATTTATTTAAAAAAAATAATAATAATACATGCAAGTATTATTATTATTTTTTTAATTTTCAGTAATTACACACCTCATTTTAGAACCTGAATTAACTTTCTTGACATTAAAATGTCACATTATTTGATATTTTATTATATGCACTGACCTTGACACATTTTTAGGACAAAAACAAAGTCATGTCATTGACTCTTAAAATGTGAAAAACTTTCCACTCATTGATAAGTCTGAACTGTCCAGTTTCAGGTTAGTGACCTTAATCCGAGTGGTTGGTCCACTTGGAGTGGAATCAGGGACTGATACTTTAAACCAGGCCATTTACGGGAAGGACAACAGACAAAGCCTATGGTGACTTTGCAGCTTCAGACAGACTCACAAATCTGTCCATTGTGTAGCGACAACCACAGCATCCGCACACAATTACTGACAGAGCCGAGGGTGAAAACTGAAAAGACAAAAAGATGAGCAGATACTGAAATGCGTGGTGGCAGAAAAAACTCTCTGAAAGAATCTTTTTTGCCCCCTCTGGCATGCAGTGAACAGCAAGCTCAGTCGGTATGCGTGGGACTGACAGCGAGGCGAGAGAGAAAGAGGAGAATGGGTTGAAACACAAAGCAACAGTTGTTCTATTGACTCTGCAGAAGTACTCAACAGATAACCCAGACTGAGCAACAACTTAATGTATCGCTTAAGGCCATAGAAAAATTCAAACTAAGGCTAAAGAGGACAATGTGTTCCTTGCATGCATTTGTATATAGTTCAACCTGCTCTCAGTTTACTCCACGACAACAAGCAGCATTTGCAATTATATTGGTCTTCATCATAAGACCCCTTTCTGGCAAGTCACGCTTTCTCTCTGGGACCTCCGCCAGCTCTGAGAAAAAGGTGAACTACATTAGTCAGCATCAGCGATTCACAGCAAATTTGTACCAGGAATCAAGACCTTGCCATTGTTATGCCATGCTTTACAGATAATAATGATTTCAATTAATGTCCCTGGATGTCTAGAATAACTAATAACATACATCTTCTATAGAGCTGACAAATACCCCAATGTACCTTTGAGCTCATGAATGGCTTGATACAACAGTGAATTTGCATAAAATGTGTAGGAAGGGAAGTGGGTGTGCAACTAAAGAAACAATATTATGGCCAAATTGTTGTGCAAGATCATCAGAGGCTGTGGAAGAAAATTTATATCACAAAATCATATTCAGATGTGCACTAAAGTCTTAGCTGTGTTTCCAGGGGTTACATAACATCTGGCAAAATCAGTGATTTATTCTCTTTCGGCCTAAACTAAAACACACTGCTACTCTTTCCATAAACCCACAGGCAGCAGAAGATCTTATGTAATTTAAATTCCTAATTACAAAGATGGAAAGAACACATATTATGAATGCTCTATCATAATAATTACAGTTCAGCACTTTTTAATAGAATTTATTTTCTAACTGCTTTGTGAATTAATAGATTACATTCTGAAAGCAAAGGGCAACAAAGCTGCTGTTTTTATCTTGGCTTCTTATCTCTGCACCTCTCTAATGAAACGCTAACCTTTATGCAAAAAGGTTAATGGGAGAACACAATTTAAGCATTGAGCTAACAGAGGCACCGGCTGACCTCACGCATGAGAACAGGCTGGAAAACTGAATAATCCTTCACCAGGTACAGAAAGAATGTTTGAAAGGGAAAGAGACCGAACACTGATTTTATTTACAGTGGCCGTCAAAGAAATTGTCTCTCAGTGATTCACATTAACCACAACATGCAATAGAGGAAAGGCAGTTAATTAGCCAAGTAATTCTCTAAAATAGAAATATAAAATAATAGATGTATACAAAAAAACATCATCTTAACTCTTAGGAATCTATGCATCATAATACACAAGCAAAGGTAGTAGTTTAAGGAGCACAGGATTTGCTGCATTCATTTCCCTTACAAATGAAGCACTGCGGTGACAATTAGGTCATCCATAGGCAGATGTAGAGATATGGAATGGAAATGGATTTGTGAGAAGTGAAACTGCTGCTTTCTTGCAAATGGGATTGTGAAATATGACTATAGAGATTTTATTATGTACTGTGAGAATGTGAACACAATGTTAGGTTGTGGAAATGATTGCAAGTATTTTCAGGTGTGAAGTGAGAACATATGTAGAAAGAAAACAGGGGGGGACCCATAACCAGACATGAAATTCCCCAGCATTTGTCATTTCCATATATTCTGCCTAAAAATCTCCTTTCATGTTTCACAGAAGTCATACAGGAAGATGGAAAAATATCACAGAAGTTATACAGGAAGATGGAAAAATATCACAGAAGTTATACAGGAAGATGGAAAAATAACGACCAACATAAGGATGAAAAAAAGTCCACAAAACCATAATTTTTGAGAACTGCTGCTTAATAAAACTGTATGCAGAATAATGTGTGAATAATTTAAACTATACAAACATTAATAACATTTTTAAAATCGATTAGGTTGCAGTTTGCTGATTTTTGTCAAATAACTTCTGTTTTTGTTTTTTAAATAAAAGAGTGATTTCAATTCAATATATTGCAGGCTCATTTATTGGTAATAAATAATTGATAATAAATAATACTGACGATGATAAATAATCAAATAATATTGGGCTTGTTTTTTAAGCTGTGGTTGCTTTTTTGTCTCGCGAGAGTTGGAAACAGTGCTTGCATCATACAGATCCCGGACCCTTTCTTGAGACTCTCGTCCAAGTCTACGGTAAAAATCCAAAACTAGGTCAGTGGGACTTGGTCGTTATTTTTCCATCTTCCTGACAAAAGATCAACAATGAGGTAATATGTATGTTCTGCATCAAAATGTACGAGCACTGCTCTCTATGAACCACACCAGTCACTTTTTAACCTTGACAAACTGCCCCGTCCTGGTTTTCATTTCTCTGTTATTTCATTTACGTTATGTCTTGGTCGGCATTTACGGTTCTTTTTAATGATGAAGAACAATTAATTTTAAGAATGGAAAAACGTTTACCTTGCAAGTAGACAATAATCAGGACAATAGCATAACCAAAATTTACAGGGCAAACAACGAAATTTGAAAGTGTATGGAGCCCATTTTATAATTAAACGGGAAAAAACGACATGAATGAAGATTGGGGTAACGTTAAATGAACTGCCTGACGAATACTGAATGTGCAATATTTCAGCGCCTACAATACTGTAATGTTAAATGCCAAATAGTGAAAATACAATTGCTGTAACTGGATGTTTACTTTGTATATTTTTTATTTCTTTATTTCGTTAGTAATAATAAGCAATTCTTTATTTTAATTATCAGTGCTTCGTTAGAGACTTATTTTAAATGTACATTATTTTCATATGTGTGAAACAAATGTACAACGTACAAATAGAAAAATCCAAATAAATTAAATATATAAAAAAAAAAAAACGGTTTCCTGCGCGCTGCAAACGTTAAACTCAAGCGGGTGATTCTCTGATGAGAGCAACGCCTGCGGTTTTCATTTCAAGAGACGCGCAGAGCAGATTACAACCATAGACTGTACAACGTACGTACCATATGGCAGTCGCGTGAGTAACGTTACATACAAGCGTACGTGTAATACAACGTAGCAACGTACAAGCAAATAATCTTCAGATGTTGATCTTAAAATAAATAAAAGAAACACGTAGTATTAACGTATCCTAGGAGGACAGGAGGCGTGAAGCTTCACATATTACTGATACGCTTGATTCTTACCTGATCTGTTTGACGGTAGACGATAGTAGACATATTTAAGGTCAATTCAGAGCTGTTGGTTGTGGATTGCAAAAGCAACAGATATGGCACGTTTCTGCGTCAGTACAACACTGTCGTTCCGGGTCTCGAGATCACCGGGTCTGTTAGATCGGTGAGCGAGCTTTGACAGGGACGCTCAGCTGATGCACGAGCTTAACAAAAGCCACGGGGCCTGTCGCGTGTGACGTAACGCAAGAGCTCCGCCTGCGGAAAAGTACCGACGGAGTGTGAGGTAGTGATGGGAAGTCCGGTTACAGTAGGTGGCGATATGCGCAAAGATTGCAACTCGCCATAAAACTAAGAAGAAGAAGAAGAAGAAGAAGAGGTGAGGTCGGGCGCTGGAATCAGGGGAAAACGGCTAACTAGTCTGGATTGATACATAGCTTTTGAAAGTTTTCACTGCATTTATCCCATTTGCTTTATGCATTTCATGCTGAGTCATTCTTGAATAGTGGTTCTCCGACAGAGGGGCGTGGTCCACTAGGAGACCTCAGTAAACTTCAAATGGGCCGTAGTTATTTTAATACAACCTATTAAATAATTTTAATTTAAAGTGCTTAAACTTGATTAAAATCAACGTGTAATTTTACAACATGTAAATTGACATTTCTCTATTTCTCACGTGAAAACATGCAGAAATTTCCCAAATATTTTCCCCTCAACCAAGGTTGTTTTTATGGAAATCTATTTCTACCATGGGACAAAAACAAATATTAATTTTAAAAAAGGTAATTGTGACTTTTTATCTCGCAATCCTGCTTTTCCTTTGAATTCTGAGTTTACATTTCACAATAGCCTACTGTTTTTTTTTTCTGCCATGGAATGAAAACAAAGATAATTGTGACTTTTTATCTCACAATTCAGAATTTTGCTCACAATTGCAGGTTCATATCTCACAGTTCCAACTTTTATCTCAGAATTGCGAGAAAAAAGGTCAGAAGTGTGAGATATAAACTCAAAATTCCAAAAAAATTAAGTCAGAATTGTGAGAAAAGTCGCAATTACCTTTTTATGTTTTTAACCCATGGTGGAAATGGACTTGTGTAGTTTTTAATGATAAACATTCAATTTTTGAAACTTATCTTTTGAAATATATCATAATTATTTTAATATTTTGACACTACTAGTTTCTGAGGGCGAGGCATTCAAAAATATTTTCTTAGAGGACCTTAAATCAGGGGTTTAGAAGTGAGGTTTAGAGCCTCATGGTTTTGAAACAAACATTACCTGCATTCTCACTGTCATTTTTATTTTTTTTATTTTTTATTTTTTTTATTAGCCTTAGGCTTTACACACCAACATCAGTGATTATAGGGTGATTATCTTTGCATGTGGTCACTGGCCAGTGAGCCTTTGCATATGGTCACAAATGAGTGAATGATGAGAGTCCTGATTATGGCTTTTAGATGTCGAGACCTCCAATACCATATCAGATATTGCACTCCTTCATCTCCTCATGTGCAAAGAAGCTTAGCTTTTCCTGTGATGCAGGAGTGCATGACGTCAGAGCCAAATTTTCTTCATTATCCTCTCTCTCCTGCACAGGTAAGACTCTCTGCCTTAGCCAGCGTTGTAAATCTTAATTGGATTAATGGATCAGCGGCACGACTATAGACACATGAGCCCAAGGTAGCACTAAGCTGCCCATTCTGTAACTGCCAGCCAGTGTAATGCACTGACTGCACAATGCCAGTAACAGAGACCCTAGAAACATCCTGGCCTTTGTGTACAAATCCTCACCAACAACTGAACTGACAAGCAATTGTCGACATACGGATCATGTTTTTTAAAAACAAAGTTGTAGGCATAACTGAAGGACGGGATTAAACTGGAGATCCTGTTTACACACAAAGCCATTGTGGCCCTTTCAGGGAGCCAGGTCAGTGTCTGTCCAGGGGGCCAGAGATTGGGCTTGTTCTCTTTGTTGTGGTATAATTATTGTAATTTGTGGTTATTTAAAGTGTTGACCCATTCATAAGCAACATGACTGCTCATGTGTCCAGAATAATGCTGTTTTGCATCACATAATGCAGGATCCTATAATATATTGTTTATTAATTGTTATTAATAATTGTTATTTCAAATACTCACTGTAACAGAAGTCACTGAATAATTTTAAATTGTCATATTTGTAACATGTCAAAAAAGTTGACAGATACCTCCCTATGTAATATGCGTGTGAATTTGGAATAATAAATCTAATAAAAAATACAGCAATTACATGACATAATATTTGTGCCCTTTTGTTTATATAGTTCATGAGAGCAGATATGAAGCATATGCACCACCCTCCAGAACTTTTTGAGACTGATGAGATTTGTAGTGTCAGTTTTGCCCTAGCGCAATGTTCTTGTCCCCTCAAGTTTCAAACAGATACACGACCAATCTGAATCCTCATGTATAATTGGTTCATTTAATCACATTGTGTACGTGTGTGTGTGTGCACATGGGTATTTAGCTCGTCTGAAATCCTCAGGCTCAGTCTACTGGCACAGATGTGTTCTGACAGCAGCAGTATTAATATTTCATGTGAGAGGCAACGTCTTGCAACTACAACTAACACATGAGGCGTATGGGGAATGTTCCTGAATCAGATCACCAAAAAAAAATTTTTTTTAAATCTTTGTTTAGCAGAAGGAGTGCTCTAAAAGGAAATATGACTGTGAGGAATGGAAAAACTTTTGCAAGTTATTGTCACAGTTGCATGCTAGATGTTTGAGTGTGATTTCACATTCATAAAACAGTTTACATAATAATGGTTTTATGAACCATTTACTTCTTGAATGAAGCCCAAAAAATTTCTGTGCCACTAACACCACCAAGTGAATTTGCCAAAATGATGACTGTTTTCAAACACGTTTCCAGAACAGTCCCTCTTTCTTCCATTAGTTCCAAAAAACAAATGGCTTCGCCTCAAATTCATGCTGTTAGTTCAGCCAGTGTTGCCATTTTGAGCTTGTCAGGATGCTCAAATAAAAAGCAATGTTTGATGGCGCCACAGAGCCAGTGTTTATACTTTTTAGGGAAATCAACCTGCAAGTTCTAGTTGTCACTGTACATTAAGCTATCATGAGAGAAATGTTTTAAACATTTAACATTTTTGTATTTAATTAGTATAATTAACAAGTATTGGTCTTTAAGGCTAAGATTTCATATAAAATGTTTTAAAATCTAAAATATTAGGCACTTTATTTTTAAGCGTAAGTGCAGATACAAAACGGTTATGTTCACATATGCGTAAACCAGTTTAGTAAAACTAGGTCATGCAGTGTACTGTATGAAGACATATACATAATTAATGCATGCTTACATACTGTACTGCACTCTTAGAGAAGCTGCATGGCTTGTCTGTATTTTCTGTGTTGAAGTGTAATGGTGTCACTATCAGATGAATTAAATGGAATGCTGAGAGATTTAATACACAGCAGATTTACAGTATGAGTCATTCTTGCGGAGTAAACCTTCATGTTTTCTATACAGGTTCATGGCTTACATTATTGTAATTGTGTCCCCATTAAGTCCTTTTTTAAATTAACACTAAATATATACACACAATGGGTGATGTCCTAGATGGAACATAATAACTTTCCAGGATGTACTGAAGATCTCATCCATGTCTGTAATATCCCTATGGATAATAGCAGTTCATAACATGTTTTTAACAATCTCCCTAAAGTAACTCATCATAATACTCTGTAGTCTTTAAATCTATTCCAGCCAATGGTTTGTGTGCTTCAGTACTCCGATACAAACAGCATGAGCTATTTCCAAGTATTAATTTAAAATGCCACCAATTGATGCTAGAACCGCAAATAAATCAGCATTGAATTAAGAACCTGTTGTTTTAGACCTTAAATTGGTTCATTAGATTTATGAGTTGCAGGCATCCTGTCTGCTAGCATCTAATACTGCAGCCAGGACATTCATTCGGCAGCAACCGCTATCTGACACATTCATTGTTCATATTGAGCAGTTGTAATGTAGCACGTCTAATTTCATTATTCTGCAGGGCTGCATTATTCACTTAGTATTTAATTGAAGATATCACACAGTAATCATAACAAACTGAACCTGCTCACATCATTTACATATCTTAACATCATTATTTGCAGATTAAGGATTTCTCATAAATTTTTTTAGGAGTCTATATAAGCTTATACCAGTAGTCTAGTTTATTAAAAAACATTTGAATGAGCTGATGGCAGTTTTATTCTCAATTCTACTAATGATTGCATATCCTCTATATAGAGTAGAAGATTCTTTAACTGGATCATAACTGCTTAAAAAATCTAAATAAATAAATCTAGGTAAGTCATTATACATGGTTTAAATATATTTAAATTAAAATCTGTTTTCATTAACTATATTGTTTTTATATTCAAATGTTATATTAACAGGGGACATTATGAATTAACAGTAGCTGTAGGGAGAGAGGAGCATAGCAACTGAGTGTATGTGAGTGTTGGTTTTCTGGCATGTGTCTGTGTGTAAGTTTGCATACAAGTATTTGTTTAGCCTGTATTTGATATCCGCCTTTGCACTTTTATCATCCCCCATTCTTCAGTGGAAACAAATTATTTCTCTAAAAATAGTTAAAGTTGAGTTGTAGTCACTGTTAACTTCACACTTAAAAAAGAAATACACACACACACAAATATATACAGTACACACACACATATATATATATATATATATATACATATATATACTGTATGTGTATATATATA